AGCAGAGTGCAGCACTCGGTCCAAGCGGAGCAATCCGACGTTTGAGTCCCACTCGTACTTCATGCGACTTCCCTGAGGACGGAGGGAGGGAGAGAGGGAGGGAGGGAGGAAGGGAGGGGGGGAGGAAGGGAGAGAGGGTGGGCGATGGTGCCTTTCTCACGGACGTCACAGAGCCGTCTTGGAGGACAAGGGGCAGCAGCCGACGGAGGGAGGGGGAAGGAAGGCGGCGTTGGAGGAGGAAGGAGCAGAGTAAATCAGACCACAAAGGTAGGGGAGAGGGAGGGAGAGGGGGAAAGAAGAGTGCAAGGGGAGGGATGACCTCAGGGAAGGGAGAGGGAAAGAGATGAATTAGAGTCGTCCAGAGGAGGGATGAACTCAGGAGAAAGAATTTGAAGGGCGCAGCCAGGGTCGTCACGAAAGAGAAGCAGAACCCAAAGGCATCGAAGAGGACAATGGCCGTCCCGAGCAAGGCAGACTAGGTCCATCTCCCTCACCTTGGAGACTTCGATAAAGACGGGCACTTCCCCTGGGAAGGCTTTCCCTTCGATAGGGATGTCGTAGACGGGGGCGTACTGAGCGTGGGTCGAAGGGGACACGTTGCCTGGAGGGCTCCCTTTCCCCACGACACCGGCCGCGGAACAGCGTGCGAAAGAGGGAGGGAGGGAAGGCACAGGACGGTGTGAGGGAGGAGAGCACAAGGCAGACAGGACACGGGGGTATAGGAGGTCATGCTGCACTTTCTTCCTCCCCCTCCAACATTACCTGATCCCGCCGCAGCGGTTGCCGTAGGTTCATGCTCTGTCTGTGCCAGGAGGAAAAAGAAAGCGGCCAAACCGGGAAGAGCGGCAGTCGCCGTCACACCGCGAGGTTGGGCCGCAGCAGACGAGGAGGAGGAAGAGAGCGAGATTCTTCCCAGTCTATTCACTCGTGACGCGGAAGATAGAGGAGACGACGACGCGCTACGGACCAGTCCACCAACAGCTTTTGTATGTGGGGCCAAAAGCGTACGACGCGTGGGGGGGAAGAAGGAGGCGGCGGCGACACCACGGCGAAAGAGGAGCAACATAGCCTGTATTGATGCATTGAAAAAAAAAGATTGAAATCCGTCTCAGAGGTCCCTCACAGCGCACAAAGGAGAAGACTGAGGTCAATATAGAGAGGACGATTTTGAGCAGTGGTTTGATATTGAGCGCCCGGCACCCATGCTGGGTTTTGTGTGTGTTGCCCGGGTGGGGAGTGTGCGGGGCACGTCATCGTTTGCAACGCTTGACAACGGATGACGATTCGCTTTCTTTTTTTCCCCTTTTTTTTCTTTTTCGTTGTTGCTTTTACTTTTATTTTTCCCCCTTTACGGGAACAATTTAGACGAAATTGTTGCGTAGATAAATCAAAAGTTGTTTACTGCCCGAATTTTAGAGCAGTACACTGTATGCTTCATCCATGCGAGTGTCGACACTGTGCAAGTAAAACATCTCCTGCGATGGATAAAAAAGCGATGAAGAAGTGATGATGATAATGTTGGAAAGCTCTCGAGCGGCATTCTTCGATGTGCACTCAATGGATTATGCGTAAAGACGCTTCTCTCTGTATAAGAATGTAGCCTGTATGCACCTCATGTGCAACTTAAGGATCTTTCTCGGAAAGTTGCTTGCCTGCCTTGGGCAATTACAATAATTTCTCTTTGCTATATTTCGTGGAAAAGGAAAAGCATGGACCCCATAAGTAGACCTTTGCACCGATCTTCTTTTAAAAAGCGAAAGATATTCGTTTATGGTGGTCTATGCAGCCTGAGGCACCCCGATACACATCGTTAACCTTCACCCACCAGCATTCCCTTCCTTAGACACGCCATAGTCTAAGTGACGCTCTATAAGTCAAGCCTTATTCCGAGGGCCGTGCACCCATCATGGACAAAGGAAGTTTGATGTCCGGCACGAAAGGCTGTAGGTAGGGCGCTGAGGCAAAGAGATCTTTCAACACATAATTGGGCAGCTGTGAAAGGATAGGGGAGTAAGAAATGAAGAGAGACAAGGGGGTGGTGTTCAAGTGATGCTGAGATCGACAGAATTTGGTCTAAGTCCCCAGATATTAGAAAAAAGGGGGGGGGGAAAGGGAGAAAATGCCGACCAAGAACGGGAAACAATTCAAAGGTGATGGATACGGATGGCGTGGACAGGTTCGATCAAAAAGCAAGGGAGGGAGAGGCCCACCAGAAATTGCAAGGAACGAATGGAAGGCGGTTGATTCCCGTCTACATCCATCACCCCCCATTCTCGTGCCACCTCTGCCACGATTTGGATGGTACCGCTGCGGTCCATGAGGGAGGAGGAGGAGGGGGAGGAGGAGGAGGGAGAGGAGGAAGGAGAGGAAAGGAGGGCAGCAAGAGCACGGCCCACAAAGCGGGGGGACTCCACGTAGCTTGCCGGGCGGGGGGATGATGAGGATGGACGAGAGAGACATTGAATCGGAGGGAACAGATGAGACAGACCGGGTCAACAACCGGAGGGAAGAGTCTACTCCAACGGATTCATGTTAAGGTCTCTTCACCGTGCAACCCCTTCCGCCCTCCTTCCCTCCCTCCTGCCCTCACCCTTCTCCGACGCTCATCTCCCTCTCCCACTTCTCCGGGTCATTTTTCCGGATCTCCGCCATCCGTTCGGTCATTACCACGCCTGGCCAGAGGGAGAAGGACGCAACTCCTTCCTTTTTCAGCTCCACCGCCATGTCCCTAGAAAGGCGGTCCAGGCCTGTGGACAGGGAGGGAGGG